CTCCCAGTGCTCCCAGTGCTCCCAGCACTCTGGGACAAGGAGCAGGGTGAGACCCACTTGTGGGGCTGGGGGGGGGGCGGTTTGAAGACTCCAAATCCTGCCTATGCCGGAGCTGTAGGTGGGTGAAGGGGAAGAGACAGGCAGCTCCCGGGAGGAAGGGCCGGGAACGGGGCCGGGATGGAGCCAGGCTGGGCTCAGGGAGGGCACAGGGCCTGGCAGGGACCCAGGGACAGTGGGATCCGGCCGGGAACAGCTAATCTGGGCTCGGGGGCCATCCTGGATCCTGGCACCAGGGCGGGCGACAAGGGGGGGTTATATAAGCACAAAAGGCCCCCCCTCCCAAATCCGCCCCCCCAAACCCTGCAGGACACCCGTGTCCCTGCAGCTGCTGTGCCTCAGTGTCCCCCATCCCACAGCAGGTCCCTCCCCCTAAGCCTCGCCCCCCCAAACTCCCCCCCCAAAGACACCTCCTGCACAGCGTGAGCCTTTTATTGCCGTACAAAGACCACCGTTTGTACAAACCCAGCCCACCCCCCCGCCTCCCGCAGCCCCCCCAGGGCCCCCCCTCGGCCCCGGGCAGGTCTCAGCGCTCCTCATCTTCACATTCCCGTCTCTTTGCCAGGGAAACTGAGTCACGCCGGTGCTGCCGGGCGCCCCCCGAAGCGCGGGAGGCCCCCGACCCGCAGGGACCCCGTCCCGACCGGCCCCCACCGATCCCTCAGCAGGGTGGGCTCCCAGGCGAAGGGGAGCCCACCCCCACCTGCCCACTCCCTCCTGCGCTGCCTCTTCGGGGTGGCTGAGCAGACCCAGGTCTCTGGGTCCCCCCAGCCCCCCAAAATCAGCCTCGTGCCCCCCCAGCCCCGACCCCACCCCCCGTCCCCCGTCCCCGCTCAGCCCCGCTGGGCCTCGTGGGAGAGGGAGCGGGAGAGGGTCCGGGGGAGCCCCCCCTTGGCTCCGCGGAGGTCTGGGGGGGCGAAGAGGGGTACGGGGAAGGTTCGGGCGTAGGGCAGGAGGTGCTGGGCCAGGGGTTGCCCCAGGACCCCCACCCGGAGCAGCCCCCAGGGCGAGCGCTGCTGCAGCACCCGCACGGCCCCGCGCTGCTCCAGCGACTCCCGGCGCGCCGTGTCCACCTCCCGCCGGCACCACCTGGGCACGGGGCGTTTGTGAGGGTCAGCACAGGGACCCCAGAGCCCCGCGGGGACCCCCCCGTCCTGCTCTGGCCTGTTGGGGTCACCCCGCCCCACTGGGAGACCCCCACCATGTCCTGCACCACCCCCCTGGAGACTCCTGTGTCCCATCCCATCCTGTGGGGACCCCCAGAGACCTCCCGTGTCCCACTCCATTCCACTGGGACCCCTGGAGACCCCCTTCTCCCCTCCCATCCCGCAGTGACCCCAGGATACCCCCATGTCCTGCACCGCCCCATGGCCCCATCAGGGTCCTTGGAGCCCCCTATAGCCCCCAAACCCTACGGAAATATCCCACTTTGGGACCCCTGGAGTCTCCCACAGTCCCAAGAACCCATGGAAACCCCGTAGTTTGAGGCCCTTGGAGCCCCTCGAAGCCCCATCAGGACCCCTGGAGCCGCCCACAACCCCAAGACCCTGTGGAACCCCATGGAGCCCCCCACAGTCCCCAGACCCCACGGAAATCCCATATTTTGGGGCCCCGTGGAACCCCCCAAAGCCCCCCATCACGACCCCTGGAGCCGCCCACAACCCCGAGACCCCACGGAACCCCTGGTTTGGGACACTTGGAGCCCCCCACAACCCCAACACCCCATGAAAACCCCCTGTCCCTTGGTGTCCCTCGCCCCCAGCGCCCCTGTGCCCCCCTGTACCCCCCTGGCCATGCCCCTCACCGCTCCTCGGGCCGGGTGCTGAGCTCCAGGTCCAGCCACTCGGCACTGAAGGTCTCTCCCCTGCCCACGTCCCGCTCGCTGACGGAGCAGCCCAGGCGGGCTGAGAGCCCCCCGTCGCAGCCCCCCACCACGCCGGGGCCCACCATGGTGCCAGTGCCCCCCCCCGCGCCCGCCCCGCTTTTATGGCCCCGCTCGGGCTATTTTGGGACGTGTCTCTGGCACGGCGGGCACGGGACGGTGCCAAGGAGGGGGTTTTGGGGGGGTGGCACTGCTGACACGTGTCACCCCTGCGTGTGCCACCCACGGGCGTGTACCCCCCCCCACTGCCAGCAACGTGATGGCACCGGCAGGACCCCCCCTGGCCCCTGCCCAGGGCACGTCCGGCCTTTCCCGTCCGGCCTTTCCCTGCCCCCGGGACCCCGGAGGGGGTCGATGAACATGGGGTGCCACTGCCAACGTGGTGCCACTGCCACCCTGTGCCACCAGAGGGACATCGGGGGCCCTCCCTCAGGACAAGGGGGGTTCTGGCTGCAGGGTCCCCCAAACAGGCTGTTTATAGGGCCTCCCCCAGGCTGTTTATAGGGCCAACAGACAGGTGCCTGCCGGGTGCCAGCGGCCCAGGGCTCACAGGCTGGTGACAAGGGGGGGGACGTGGGGCTCCAGCCACCCCCAGCCATCCCCCAGCTGTGGGGGTCCCACCCCAGGGAAGCACCGAGGGTTGGGGGGCACGGGGGGCACCGGGTGCAGACGTGGAGGCTCCTCACCCACGGGGCTGCCAGTGCCACCACGGGGTGGGGGACAGTGACACCCAGGAGCAGGGACACCCACAGCCACTGCCACCACCCACGGCCAAAGGAGCCTGGAGACCCCACCCTTTGTGCCCGGGGAGGGCTTTGGGGTGACCCCGTTCCTGGGCTTTGATCCCCGCGGGTGACAAAGGGCACGAGGGGCACGAGGAGCTGCAAACAGTGCAAGGCTTTAATTCCCCCCTCACAGACTTGGGGGGGGTCGGGGGCAGATCCCCAGGCCATGGGGAAGGGGAGGGGTGTGCAGAGAGCCCCGGGGGGGGGTTGCTCTGGGTGCCCCCCCCTCCCTTCGTGCAGCCCCCGCGTGCGGGGGGGGCCCACACTGCTGCTGCTGCTGCTGCTGCTGCTGTTTTTAGAGCAGCACACGGAGCTCACAGGTAGAGAAACCGCAGTCGCCCCCGCGCCCCCCCAACCCCCCCCCCCACACCCCCAAAAAGGATCAAAGTCTCTGCTTAAGGCAAATCCCGCGCCGGGAGCTGCGGGATCGGGAAGGGGGAAGGGCTCACCCGGCCCCATGGAGGGGGTTTGTGCAGTCCCAGCCGTGCCCCGGGGTGGGGGGCACAGCCCCGGGGGGCACAGGGGGTGTGGGGGGGCACAAGCTGT